ATTTTGATAATTATTTTTCTTTATTTATGATGATGATTATCATTGCCATTGTTATTATTATATCTATTGCTATTAGCAGTATTTTTTTACGCTATTATAATCATGAAAATCATTAATATCATATCTTTGTTATTATTATTATCATTGTCATTATTATGATTATCCTTATTATGTTCATCATTATTATCATTACTTTCATTATTTTATCACTAGTGTTATTATTGTTTTTATTGTCATTGTTTTTGTCATATGATATCTTTTTTATGAATGTTTTAATCATTCTTGGTATAATCATTTATAGTTTTACTTTTATAACTCTTGTTGCTCGTGTTATTGTTATTTCTATTATTTACAAATACTAGTTCAGTTGAAATAAAAAGACCATAATGATAGCTATTTTCCTCTACTTTGCTCTCTCTCTGTCTTTTACTTTTTCCTTGTTTCTTCACTCTATTCGTTATCTTCCTCTTCCCTGTCTCTCGTTTTTTTTTTCTTTCTTTGTCCTCGTCCTTTTACTCTCCTTCTCTTTTCTTCTTTCTAATTCTCTGTATCTCTCTTTCTTCTCTGTTTCTCTAGCTCTCCCTTATTCTACTGTCTTTCCTCTTCCAGCTTTCCCGTCTCTCACTTCCTTCCTTCCTTCCACTCTCTCTCCTCTTCTTTCCTGTACCTCACTTCCTCCTCCCCACTCTTTCCTCTACCTTTTTCTCTCCCTTTCCCCCACTTTCTCCCCACCATCCCCCTCACTATCATGTGTTCAGCTCTTTCTCTCACCCCCTCCCACCCCTTTCTCCTCTTCATCTTTTTTTGTCTTTCTCTACTCCAATCTCACTTTCCTTCCTTACATCTTTTCTCTGTCCTCTTTCTCCTTGTCTCATCTTTTCTTATTTTCTCTCTTCCTTCCTTCATCTCAATTCCTTTACTGACATTTTTTCTCTTTTCTCTTTTCTTCCTCTTTTTCTCTCCATCACTACCTTTCACTCTTTCCCCTTCTTCTTTTTTTCCATTCTTCTTTCTCTTTCTTACTCACTTTTTCTCCCATTCCTTTTTCCCTCTTCCTTCTCTCCAACTTTCTGCTCTTCTTTAATCCCTTTTCCTCATTCTTCTCCGTGTCTCCTCCACTCTTCGTTCTTCCCTTCGCTCTTTCCTCTGTCTCCATTCCCTCCTTCTCACTGTTATTCTCTCTTTATCCCTTCTTTTCTTTTCCATTCCTTCCTCCCCCTTTCTAGTTCTCACTCTTCCTTACTTCCTCCTTACTATGATGCCCATCCCCCTTTTCATCCTCCCTTTCGCTTCCATTTCCATCCTTATTCCCATCACCCATCAACACGACGGTTGACACAAGCTTCTTCCTCCCGCAGACAAGACCGCCCTTCACTTCGCTGCCAGGAACGGACACCTTTCTGTCGTCCAATTCCTGGCGGAGAACGGCGGCGACCTCAACGCCAGAGACCGCTTTGGTAAGTCGACAGGAGCGACATTTCTCTTCTTACTGTCATCATTGATTGTATTGTTATTATCTTTAAAGTCATTATTATTATTCTTTGTCATTTTCATAGAAAGTAACAATTGTAATGATGATAATAGGAATAATAATAATAATAAAAAAAAAAAATAATAATAACAAAAGTAATAACAATAATAATGGTAATGGAATGATGATGGTAACAATAAAAAAATAAAATAGAAAACAGAAACATAAAGAAGAATAAAAGTTAGAAAATAAAAAATATATATATATATACTAAAAGAGAATGCACAAATAAAACACCAAAACAATAAAAAAATATGAAGATAAATGAAGTAGCAAAAGAAGAAAGATGATAATAAAAGAAAATCAAACAATAATAATGATAATAATGATAACGCTTCGGTAAGGCAACAGGAGCAACAATTCTATTCTTGCAATTGTTTTTGGTTATATTCTTGTTTTTTATCACTATTATTATTCTTTATCATTAAAATAGTAATAAAAATAATCATGAAAGTATCATAATAAGGATAATATCAATAATATCATTATCATTATTGTTATTATTATTAACGACTTTAATATTTCTATTGTTATAATTATTCTTATTGTTATTATCATTATCATTGTTGCAATCAGTTTCTTTGTCCATTGGTTTGTCTGTCGGTTAACAGGATAACTCAAAAAGTCATGGATAGATTTTTATTGATTTATTGATTTATTTATTACCAGTTTGTCAGCCATGGGGGAGGGGGGGGGGATGGTCACAGGGAGTTCATGATTTTCAAGGACGATCATATGTACGTAAACACACGCACATGAGGTTAACCATTTTGACCATCCTCATTTAGTAGGCCTACATCCATCTTTCCTCTTTGTTTACTTTTCTTATCCACTTTCTCTCCATTTCTCTTCTTTTGAATCTCTCACCCACTCCACCCCTTTCTCCTCTTCATCTTTTTTGTCTTTCTCTACTCTCCACTCTCATTTTCCTTCCTTACATCTTTTCTCTGTCTTGACTCTTCTTCTCTATTTTCTCTCTTCCTTCCTTCATCTCTCTATTCCTTTACTGACATTTTTTTTCTCTTTTCTCTTTTCTTCCTCTTTTTTTCTCCATCACTCTCTTCTCTACCTCCCATTCACTCTTTCCTCTTCTTCTTTTTCCATTCTTATTTCTCTCTTTTACTCCCTTTTATGCCTCTTCCTTCTCTCCTGCTTTCTGCTCTTTTTCTTTATTCCCTTTTCATTATTCTTCTCCGTGTCTCCTCCGCTCTTCGTTCTTCCCTTCACTCTTTCCTCTCTCTCCATACCCTCCTTCTCACTGTTATTCTCTCTTTTTCCCTTCTTTTCTTTTCCATTCTTCCTCCCTTCCTAGTTCTCACTCTTCCTTACTTCCTCCTTACTATGATGCCCATCCCCCTTTTCATCCTCCCTTTCGCTTCCATTTCCATCCTCATTCCCATCACCCATCAACACGACGGTTGACACAAGCTTCTTCCTCCCGCAGACAGGACCGCCCTTCACTTCGCTGCCAGGAACGGACACCTTTCTGTCGTCCAATTCCTGGCGGAGAACGGCGGCGACCTCAACGATTTGGTAAGTCGACAGGAGCGACATTTCTCTTCTTACTGTCATCATTGATTGTATTGTTATTATCTTTAAAGTCATTATTATTATTCTTTGTCATATTCATAGAAAGTAACAATTGTAATGATGATAATAATAATAATAATAATAATAATAATAATAATAATAATAATAATAATAATAATAATAATAAAAGTAATAACGATAATAATGATAATGGAATGATGATGGTAATAAAAAAAAAAAAGGAAACAGAAACATAAAGAATAAAAGTTAGAAAATAAAAAAATATTTGTACTAAAAGAGAATTCACAAATAAAACATCAAAACAATAAAAATATGAAGATAAATGAAGTAGCAAAAGAAGAAAGATGATAATAAAAGAAAATCAAACAATAATAATGATAATAATGATAACGCTTCGGTAAGGCAACAGGAGCAACAATTCTATTCTTGCAATTGTTTTTGGTTATATTCTTGTTTTTTATCAGTATTATTATTCTTTATCATTAAAATAGTAATGAAAAAAAATAATGAAGTATCATAATAAGGATAATATCAATAATATCATTATCATTACTGTTATTATTATTAATGACTAATATTTCTATTGTTATAATTGTTCTTATTGTTATCGTTATCATTGTTGTCACTATTATTATTATCATTATTGCAATCATCAGCGTTGGTTAGTTTCCTTGTCCGTTGGTTTGTCTGTCGGTTAACATGATAACTCAAAAAGTCATGGATAGATTTTTATTGATTTATTTTATTTATTGATTTATTACCAGTTTGTCTTAGCCAGGGGGAGGGGGATGGTCACTGGGTGTTCATGATTTTCAAGGACGATCATATGTACGTAAACACACGCACATGAGGTTAACCATTTTGACCATCCTCATTTAGTAGGCCTACATCCATCTTTCCTCTTTGTTTACTTTTCTTATCCACTTTCTCTCCATTTCTCTTCTTTTGAATCTCTCACCCACTCCCACCCCTTTCTCCTCTTCATCTTTTTTGTCTTTCTCTACTCTCCACTTTCATTTTCCTTCCTTACATCTTTTCTCTGTCTTGACTCTTCTCTATTTTCTCTCTTCCTTCCTTCATCTCTCTATTCCTTTACTGGTTTTTTTCTTTTTCTCTTTTCTTCCTCTTTTTTTCTCCATCACTCTCTTCTCTACCTCCCATTCACTCTTTCCTCTTCTTTTTCCATTCTTATTTCTCTCTCTTACTCCCTTTTATGCCTCTTCCTTCTCTCCTACTTTCTGCTCTTTTTCTTTATTCCCTTTTCATTATTCTTCTCCGTGTCTCCTCCGCTCTTCGTTCTTCCCTTCACTCTTTCATCTCTATCCATTCCCTCCTTCCCACTGTTATTCTCTCTTTATCCCTTCTCTTCTTTTCCATTCCTTCCTCTTCCTTCCTAGTTCTCACTCTTCCTTACTTCCTCCTTACTATGATGCCCATCCCCCTTTTCATCCTCCCTTTCGCTTCCATTTCCATCCTCATTCCATCACCCATCAACACGACGGTTGACACAAGCTTCTTCCTCCCGCAGAAGGACCGCCCTTCACGGCTGCCAGGAACGGACACCTTTCTGTCGTCCAATTCCTGGCGGAGAACGGCGGCGACCTCAACGCCAGAGACCGCTTTGGTAAGTCGACAGGAGCGACATTTCTCTTCTTACTGTCATCATTGATTGTATTGTTATTATCTTTAAAGTCATTATTATTATTCTTTGTCATATTCATAGAAAGTAACAATTGTAATGATAATAATAATAATAATAATAATAATAATAATAATAATAATAATAATAATAATAATAATAAAAGTAATAACGATAATAATGATAATGGAATGATGATGGTAATAAAAAAAAAAAAGGAAACAGAAACATAAAGAATAAAAGTTAGAAAATAAAAAAAATATACTAAAAGAGAATTCACAAATAAAACATCAAAACAATAAAAATATGAAGATAAATGAAGTAGCAAAAGAAGAAAGATGATAATAAAAGAAAATCAAACAATAATAATGATAATAATGATAACGCTTCGGTAAGGCAACAGGAGCAACAATTCTATTCTTGCAATTGTTTTTGGTTATATTCTTGTTTTTTATCAGTATTATTATTCTTTATCATTAAAATAGTAATGAAAAAAAATAATGGAAGTATCATAATAAGGATAATATCAATATCATTATCATTACTGTTATTATTATTAATGACTAATATTTCTATTGTTATAATTGTTCTTATTGTTATCGTTATCATTGTTGTCACTATTATTATTATCATTTGCAATCATCAGCGTTGGTTAGTTTCTTTGTCCGTTGGTTTGTCGGTTAACAAGATAACTCAAAAAGTCATGGATAAATTTTTATTGATTGATTTATTTTATTTATTGATTTATTACCAGTTTGTCTTAGCCAGGGGGAGGGGGATGGTCACTGGGTGTTCATGATTTTCAAGGACGATCATATGTACGTAAACACACGCACATGAGGTTAACCATTTTGACCATCCTCATTTAGTAGGCCTACATCCATCTTTCCTCTTTGTTTACTTTTCTTATCCACTTTCTCTCCATTTCTCTCTTCTTTTGAGTCTCTCACCCCCTCCCACCCCTTTCTCCTCTTCATCTTTTTTGTCTTTCTCTACTCTCCGCTCTTATTTTCCTTCCTTACATCTTATCTCTGTCGTCTTTCTCCTTGTCTTTTCTCTGTTTTCTCTTCCTTCCTTCATCTCTCTATTCCTTTACTGACATTTTTTTCTCTTTTCTCTTTTCTTCTCTTTTTTTCTCCATCAATCCCTTTCACTCTTTCCCCTTTTTTCTATTCTTCTTTCTCTTTCTTACTCCCTTTTTCTCATATTCCTTTCCTCACTTCCTTCTCTCTTACTTTCTGCTCTTCTTCTTTAATCCCTTTTCATCATTTTTCTCTGTCTCCTCCGCTCTTCGTTCCTTCCTTCACTCTTTCATCCCTCTCCATTCCCTCCTTCCCACTGTTATTCTCTCTTTATCCCTTCTCTTCTTTTCCATTCCTTCCTCCCCCTTCCTAGTTCTCACTCTTCCTTACTTCCTCCTTACTATGATGCCCATCCCCCTTTTCATCCTCCCTTTCGCTTCCATTTCCATCCTCATTCCCATCACCCATCAACACGACGGTTGACACAAGCTTCTTCCTCCCGCAGACAGGACCGCCCTTCACTTCGCTGCCAGGAACGGACACCTTTCTGTCGTCCAATTCCTGGCGGAGAAGGGCGGCGACCTCAACGCCAGAGACTGTGATGGTAAGTCGACAGGAGCGACATTTCTCTTCTTACTGTCATCATTGATTGTATTGTTATTATCTTTAAAGTCATTATTATTATTCTTTGTCATATTCATAGAAAGTAACAAT